CACGCGGAGGCGGACGGGGAGGCTGGCGGTGCCCACGGCATTGGTGGCGGTGCAGCGGTAGATCCCACTGTCCCCCGGCCACTCGGCATCCCGGACGGTGAGGTTGACCCACGCTTCTCCCTCCTCCAGCCCGTACTTGGCCAGCCCCGGTGTCACCTCCCGCTCCTTCGGGTCGTACCAAGCCACGGTGGCACCGAGACTGGCGCTGCTGCCACGCTGCCGGCACGCCAGCTGCGCCTCGCCGCCCTCCAGCACCGCCACTTCGCTGTCCGCCTGCAGCTCGGGGACCTCTGCTCGGCGACAAGGGGGGACACGATGGTGCCAGCCCGCCGTGGCACGGCGGGGGCGGCGGGGAGGCTCCGGCTTACCGAGGCGCAGGCGGCACTCGGCGGCAGCGGCCCGCAGCGGGTGCGCGGCCACGCAGACGAACTCGCGGCCCCCCAGGCCGCCGTCGGTGCTCAGCACCAGCACGGCGGTGGAGGGCGCGGGCTCGCCCAGGGCCCGGCCCGCGCCGTCCCGCCAGCGCAGGGTGACGGGCGGCGTGCCCCCGTCCCACCGGCACCGCAGCATCACGTACTCGTCACCCTTGGTGGCCGCCGCCGCGCAGGTGGGGCTGCCGGGCGGGACCCCTGCGGGACGGAGCGGCGTCACAGCGGGGCACGGCCACGCTGTGCCACCCCCAGAAAGGAGACACCCCCCGCCCGGGGCGAGGGGCGTTCGGCAATCCCGGCCGTGCCACAGCTCCCCCGTTTTGGAGCAAGCTGGAGGTGCGGAAGGTCCCAGGAAAAGCAGCAGCACCCCGGAGCGCCCGTCCCATGGTTTGGCCACGGCACGGGGTCAGTGCAGCTCTGCTGTGAGACCAGGAGCTCAGGAAGGGGGCTGGGGGCAGATGGGCCCACTGTCACTCACACAGGGTGGTCCCACATGCAGCCCCCAGTGGCAGCGCGGGGTGGGAGGCCAGGCAGGAGAAGGAGCTGCCGTTCCTGGTGGCTGCCCCTGACTGGATCCTGGTGGCCATGGAAAAGCTGGTCCCCATCAACCCCTCTTCCTCCTCCTCCTCCTCCTCCTCCTGGGGGCCCACCCAGCGCAGCCGGGCCAGGGGGAAGCCCCCCAGCCAGCGGCACCGCAGGGCCACATCCCGCTGATCATCGGAGGCCAGGGCAGAGCAGCTGGGGCTCCCGGCTGGTGGATCTGCAGGAGACCACCGGCACTGGGGGAGAGCGTGGGCTCCCCCCTGCCCCACCTCACCACCCACATCCTCACCAGGAGCTGCGCGGGTCCGTCTCACCCTGTGGGGACCTGCCGGCCCCCCGCGGGGTCACTTACAGTAGACAGTGAGGACGATGGTGGCCTGGGTGCGCGTCTGCAGGTGGCTGTTCTCGGCCAGGCAGGTGTAGGTGCCCGCCTGGGCACGGGCGATGGCAGTGATGACGTAGGTCTGGCCGACGTGCACCTGGGAACCGTTGTGCAGCCAGACATAGCGGCTGGGGGGGTTGGAGGGAGCCAGGCAGCTCAGCACCACGTCCTCCCGCTCGCCCGCCGAGAAGCCCCCCTGTTCGGGGGAGAAGGGCTCCACACGGATGGCCGGCTCATCAGGGCCATCTGCGGGGACACGGGGCCCTTTAGACAGGGACAGCCCCACAGAGGGGACACTGCCCTCCCTGGGGCTTCCTCCCACCGGTGGGAAGCAGGGAAGCAAAGCCCCCCCTTAGAAAGGGTGTGCCGTGAGGGCTGTGAGCACACCATGACCCACAGGGCCATGGATGCATCGTGGTGGCAGCGCACACGGTGGCCATGGTGACTAGAGAGGCATTATGCCAGTGAGGTGTATGATGGCCATGAATATGCAAAAGCAACAACGAGCCATACCATGGTGGCCACAGAGACATAGTGGTGGCCACAGAGGCATCACGGTGGCAGGATATAAAATGTCCATGGATGTTCCATGATAGCCATGGACATACCATGGTGGCAGGGTGCTCCGTGGCCATGGACAAACCACGGAGCATTGTGGTGGCCATGGATGGCATCAGCCCTGAAGATGCCCCCCAGCTGGTGGCTGAGGGCCCCCCGAGGTGGGTGGCACCCAGGGCACTCACAGACGATGTCCAGGTAGACGGGGTCGCTGGTGCGGTTGTTGACCTCGTTGCGCACGGTGCAGATGTACCAGCCCGTGTGGCTGCGGTTGGCAGGCGTCAGCTGCAGCTCTGCCCTGGAGCCCCCCGGCCCCGCAGGGGTCACTGAGGGACCCCCCCGGGGCTCCTGGTGCTGCCAGGAGAAGCTCAGCGGCTCCGTCCCCTCCCGCACGGTGCACGTCAGGGCCACCGCTGCCCCCTCCGCCGCCGCCGCCGCCGTCGGCCACACGAAGGGCTTGGAGACAGGCACTGGGGGCACCGGGTGTGAGCAGCCCCCACAGACATCAGAATGCCCCGGGGCCCACCCATCTCCCCCACCCAGATGGATTGCTTGGCCACTGAAGTGCCATAGCAGCCAGTAGAATGGCTAGTGAGCACACCTGCAGGCTCATGGGGGGCCCTGGCTGTGGGCACGGGCACCTGCTGGGGAGCTACTGGGACCAGCTTGGGGTGGTGGGATGCTTGGGTAGCCAGGGCAAGGAAATAAGAGTGGCTTAGTGGGCTGCTGTGGTGGCTTGTAGGGGGCTACATTAGTTGGAGGCAAGGGAGGTTTGCTGGCTGATGGTGTCATGTGCTGGCTAGTGGAGCTCGGGGTTGGCTGATGAGTGCTATGTTGGCCTGTGTTGAACTAGCTTGGCTGATGGGATGCTCTATTGGCTAGTGGTGTGTTATGCTGGCTAGTAGGATGCTTTGCTGGCTAGTAGCAGGTCACTATGGCAAGTAGGGTACCCTGCTAACTAGTGGGGTGCTTGGTTGTGAATGGGGTACTACAGTTACTAGTGAACCACCATGTTGGCTAGTGGGACTCTGCATTGGCTAGTAGGGCACTACGCTGGCTTGTGCTATGCTTTATTGACTTGTGAAACCCTTTGCTGGCTAGGGGCGTATTTTGTTGGCCAGTGGATGGCTCTTTGGCTACTGGGCAAGGGGCTGGGCTTGACCATGACCTAGGAGAGCGTGATGCTGGCTACTGCTGGCCAGCAGGTCCCCCCAGGTTGGCCGCAGCCAGGGACTTACCCAGGACACGCAGGAGGACGGCGGCATAGCCCACGCGGAGCCGGCCCCGCTCTGGGAAGAGCCCCTGGCAGAGGAAGCGGCCCTGGGCGGCCGCCCGCAGCTCCCGCAGCTCCAGCGTCCCGTTGCGCAGCGTCACCCGGCCCAGCATCCCCACGCCGGGGGCCGTGGCCACCTCCCTGCCCGAGCCCACGGCCACGGCCCGTGGGACCCCCTCTCCCTGCGGCGTGAAGCTCCAGAAGACCACGGCCGGCGGGGCCGCGGCCGCCGGCCCGCAGCTCAGCTCCACGGCCTGGCCTCGCACGCCCGTCGCCCGCCATTCCTCGTAGGCCGCCTCGCCGGCCGCCAGCGGCTGTCCTGGGGGCAGCGCGGCCGTCAGGCTCCCTCGCCCCCCGCCCGGGACACGGGGACAGCTCGGTGCTCACCCCCCGCCAGCGCCGGCAGCAGCAGCAGCAGCACCCAGGGTCCCCTCCGAGGTGGCAGCGCCCGGCCGCGCTCCATGGCGCCATGTCCAGCACCGGCACCGAAGCAGGGCTGCGCTCTCCAGCACGACCTGCTCTCCGGTTACCCCCGCGTAATTAAGCCCAGCCCTGATTAACTGTTAATTATTTATCAACCAGCCAGCACAGGGGGAACCCGAGCCACTGCCGCCTGGGCACCTGCAATCTCAGGGCTGAGGAGCGGCGCGCTTGCTGTGGGAATGGCAGCATCCTCGCATTCCCCCCACATGGGAATTTAATCCCTCAGGGTTCCCTCCTCCACACACAGTATTTTTTTGGCTAAAGGAGGGGGAAATCTGCCACTCCCCTGTGATCGAAGCTGGGGGGTTTGGAGCTGGGGAAGCCAGGCAAGGAGCAAGGTTTGATATTTCATCTCCCACTGTCTGCAACGCCCCAGACCATCAAACATTCATAGGGGCGGCTGGGCCGTAACGCAATGCCAAGGGGCTGGAGCAAGCTGGGGGGATTTGGGGGTGTACTTGGTGAGGGGGATCAGGGAACACTCAGCAAAGTCTGCAAAACTACCTGTCATCTCCCATCTCCCTCACCGATCCTTTAATTAGAATTCATTGCTTGTTACCAAAATCACACTGTTAATACCAAATGTGTGTACTCTCCACAAAGAGGCTTGAAATGCCCCAGAGGGTTAAAGCTGGCAGCAAGAAGTGCAGAGCCAGGGTCAGGCCCTGCCCCGCTACCACCAGGTCCTGCTTCCACTGCCACACCCCTCTGGCTGCGCTCTCGTCACGTTTTGGTCACTTTGTGCCCGTTCAGGTCAGGTTTGGGTAGAAACCTGGATGAAGAGAGCAGGGCGCAACAGCCAACCCAATAAACGACACCATTGTCAACACTGACCTAAATCAAACCCCACCTATGAGGGCTGATCTATTTCAGAGAGTTTTGGTAAAGAATGAAACATCCTGCTGACTACAAACAATTTCTTTATTAAAGATTAACAAGGGCACAAACACAGCCCAGTCCCTGGAGTCCAACTTCTGTCCACACTGCCAGGGCCCCGAACACTTGGATTTCAGACCCCTGGGGTCCAGCCTCTCTCCCTCACCAACAGGATCCTGAACACCCTGATTTTGGATCCCTGGGGGTCCAGCCTCTCTCCTGCACTGCTGGACCCCGACACTTGGGTTTTGCCGCGGGATCTGGGATGGCAGCAGTGGACTCCTGCTGCCATCTAGTGAGACGAGGTTCGCTCCAGCCTCTCCTCAGGCAACACAACAGAACTCAACAGCTTCAGGAGGATACGAGAACCACCGGGAAGTCTTCCCCTGTAACTTTCCCTCCCGTTTAGAACTACAACTTGGGTTTGGGATAACGAATCCCTGCTTCTCACTCAGCTGCAAGCTTCTCCAGCTCGTCCATGTCGTACGGATCCAGCTGCTTGATCGTGGTCTCTGTAAGAAGGAAAGAGCAATTGCTGGGAGGTGAGTGCAGAGCTCACTGCAGCATTTCCCTCTGCAGGGAAATCAGCTGGGACAAAGCTGGGAGGGGAATGGGATCAGGGCAGCAGGCAGCAAGCAGCAGCCCCACAGCAGCAGCACGCAGAGCTCAGCCTCTGGTGTGCCCCCACTCCCCGTTTCCACCTCCACAGCCACGCAGGACAGGGAAGGTTTGTACCCTCCAACTGCAACATCACAACGTGAAAAGCACAAGTCAGACCACTGGGGGCTCATCCTAACACTGGATCCTTTTGCCCATGGCTGTGGTTGGGCTCACCACATGCCAGTTATTCCAGCTGCTCATTGCTTCTACTCCATGGCAACAATCTTTGTCAGAATGTGTTCTCTGGCTGGTGTCTGCCTCAGGCTCACTCCAGGTTCCAAGGACAGGTGAACATTTGAAGGAACCAAGAGGTGAGTGGCTCTGAGGCCAGAGATGTGGAAGGGACACTATTTGATGCCCATCAGAAGGCTTCTATAACCTTTCCTCTAAAAATCACAGCAAAAACAGGCACTGGGATTCCAAAAGCCATCAGTGAAGCCCTGGCATCTGGCAAATCCCATGAAAATCCTCTTGATGTTAGCAAATGACAATCAATTTCCACTCAGGAAAGATTTCCACAGCTGCCATCTCCCCTCCCACAGCCAGGGCTGGGCTGAGCTGAGCTGGAGCACCAGATACCCTGGGACAAGCACTCGCAAGGAAAGGCAGAAAAAGTGCCTGAAAGAGGGGAAAAAATGAAGGTGCTGACGCATCCTGGGTACTGGTAACATCCCTTGCAAGCTGCACACAACCTCCAGGGCTGCTTCTTGGGAAATTTGCCTGCTGGGGAGCAAAAATCACCCTAAAATCTGTATCTGTCACCCATTCCCAGTGGGACGAGCCCTGGGGAGAGAAGCAGCACGGCAAGGGCTATTTGCAAGCAGGAAATGAGCTGGAGGGGGTCCCAGTCCCAACCCCACCCCTCGGAGCGGTGGATCCGTGCGGATACTCACGGAAATACTCCTCTATCTTGTGCACCAGCTGCACGGTGTCTCTCTGCACCACGCTGAAGGCGATGCCGCGGTGCCCGAAGCGTCCCGCCCTCCCAATGCGGTGCAGGTAGGTCTCAAAATCCGGCTCGCCGTCCTCGTCCACGGGGAGGCCGAAGTTCACCACGGTGGTGACCTGCTGCACATCAATGCCTGGAAGAGAGCGAGGGGATCCTCTTGGGATACCTTGTCCCACAGGATCTGCCGCTCAAGCCCACGTGGAAGAACAGCAGGCCCGGCGCATTTTGGGCCGTCAGAGGGGCGCTGGGTTTGCCGGGATACCTCTGGCACAGACGTTGGTGGCGATGAGGACCTTCTCCTTGCCCTCACGGAAGCGCTGGATGACGCTGGCCCGCTGCACCACCGTCAGCTCTGCTGTCAGGATGGCCACTTGGTGCCCGTCCCGGCTCATCTTCCCTGACAGCCAGTCTGCCTGCCTCCGGGTCTGCGCACACGGGGAGAGGCTGAGGCCAGCAGCTCCCTCTCCAGAGTCCCCTGCCCCTTCTGAGGGAGCTCATGGCAGTTTTCAACACTCCCCTGGGGTCTACTCCTTTGTTTTGGGGGTCTTGGGAGGAGCCCACTGTGCCCACACTGTAAAAGGACCCATTCCTGCTATTGCCAACGGGAGAGGGGCAGTGCAGGGCTCTCCCAGGCAGGCCCCTCACCTGGCAGAAGATCATGACCTGACCGATGATGAAGCTGCCATAGAGGTTGCAGAGGGCCCTGTACTGCTCGTCCGAGCTCTGGCACACCATGAAGTACTGCCTGATGTTGCTCAGGGTGAGCTCCTCCTCACGCAGCTTGATCACGATGGGGTTGGGGATGATCCGCTCCGCAAAGGCCCGCACGGGCTCCTTGTAAGTGGCTGAGAACAGCAGCACTTGGCAGCTGTTGGGAAGAGCCCTGGGACAGGGAAAAATGGTTTAGGTGGGGTGTTAGGGCATGGGCTGGACTCGATGATTCTGAAGGTCTCTTCCAACCTGGTCGTTGTGTGAAAAGCTCTGTCAGCCCCAGAGAGCTGCCCAGAAGGACAGAAACCCTAATTTAAACTGATTTTGTGCTGCCTTCAGTGACAAGAAAGATTGAGAGGTACTTTTTACAAGAGTCTGGAGTGAAAGGAAAAGGGGAGAATGGCTTCACTTTGAAAGAAATCAGGTTTAGATATTAGGAGGAACTTCTTCCCTGTAAGGATGCTGAGGCCCTGGCAGAGGTTGCCCAGAACAGCTGTGGCTGCCTCATCCCTGGAAGTGTTCAAGGTAAATTGGGTGGAGCTCTGAGCAACCTGGTCTCGTGGAAGGTGTCCCTATCAATGGGAAAGGGTGGGAACAAGATGAGCTTTACGATCCCTTCCAATTGTGGCCATTCTAGGATTCTGTGAGTCAATCCAAGGCCTGTAACAGCTCAAAGGAAAGCTGAACGAGGTCAAGTGTCTTCCTGTGTGCATGCAGTGCATGCAGTTTTACAGACAGACAGACCTGTGGACAATCCTCTTTGGCACCATGGGCACACTCTCACAGGCCTTTGGTGACAGACTCCTTTAATGCTAAAGAAGAGAAAGGAAAGCAGGGATCAGGACAGCAGCTCCCAGCAATGCTCACCTTTGGATGCGGATGCTCTGGCAGGAGAGGCCCTGCGTGTCAATCATGATGTCAGCCTCATCCAGCACGAACAAGGAGATCTTTGTCAGGTCCAGGACACGTTGTTTGAAGCACCAGTCCAGAGTGGTGCCTGGTGTTCCGATGATGATCTGCTCCTCCAGCACTGTGCCCTTCAGAACTGCAAGGGGACAAAAGGCATTTGGCTGCCTTCAGGCATGGAGCTCTCTGGTGCTGTGTTTTCCCTTGCTCAGACTCTGGCTGCTCAGTGATGCCTTCAAGGGGTCATCATGACACTTCCCTACAGCCTTGGGGCAAGGGAACCACTCCCATATGGGAAAAGGAAGTGTGCAAGCAGCCAGTGATGGTGGAAAAGCCTCCTCATCAGGAGAGCGGGACAGACACTATTGCCCTTCATGGATGTTTGGGCAGTCCCTGGTAGCTCCAGGCTCCAAGAGGGGATCCCTGTGCTCCCTTCCCCTTTCTGGAGCAGTGCCAGTCGCTGTGCTGGGCTGGGCTTACCTCGGTTTCCCCGGACAGCATAGTTCACCTTGATGTCAGTGCAGAACTTCCCAATGGCGCGCACCACCTGCCCGATCTGCAGAGCCAGCTCGTAGGTGGGAGCCAGGCAGAGGCACTGGCAGGAGAGCAGAGGAAGGAGCTGTCAGGCCTGGGATGGGGCACACTGGGCAGGGACAGCAAGAGGAGCTCAGGAGCATCCCACAGCACTCAGGCACAGGGGATGGGGCAGCATGGCTGGAGGTGCAGGAGCTGGGCTGTGTTCCCAGCTCCAGACAAGGGGGCAGAAAGAAGCTGCTGCTGTTCTTTTTGAGGAGGAAATGTGTCTCTCAGAAGCGTGGTGCAGCTTGTTCCTGTGCCCTAGCTCAGTCACACTGTCCATACACACAAAAGGAGATCTTACATGGCTGGAAACAGCTGGCAAAGCTGGTTCTGCACCCAGAGAGGAGACTGGGAGTATCTGACCACCAGAAACCAGCAGTGTCTACAGCTGCTCCTCAAAACCTAAATTCCAGGATAACTGAAGCCTGGATTGATCTACGCTGGCAAGTCAAAGCACCTCCCTGAGGTGTGCACCGTGCTTTTGGTCCTACCTGCCACTGGGCCCTGGTGGTTTACCATCCCACTCCAGTGGGTAAAGTCACACAGGAACAGGGACAAAGCCCAGAGCTGTGCCCCTGGCAGTGTCCTGGGCGCCTGGGCCAACCCCTCCTGCAGCTGCTCTCCCTGTCCTGCGTTACCTGCGGATATTTCTCGCTGGCACTGGCTCTGCTCAGCATGGCCAAGACAAAAGCTGCTGTTTTCCCTGTCCCTGACTGGCTCTGGGCAATCAGATTTTGGGGCCTGCAAGGCAAAAGCAGCTTAGTGGAATGGAGGGGTCGGGGTGTTCCTGCTTGGCACCACAGTGCAGGGATGCCGCGAGGAGCCGGGGGCCAGCCGTGCTGTGCTCCTACTCACGGGTACGCCAGCATGACTGGCAGAGCCTGCTCCTGGATTTTGGATGGTCTGTTGAAGCCCATCATATAAACCCCCTGCAAGAGCTCCTTCTTCCTGTGGAAACAAAGCATTCAAGTGTCCACGTGAAGGAAGCTGGTGCGATGGAGCATGGTGGGGCCAGGGGCTGTGGCAACTCACAGGGGCAGCTCCTCAAAGGTCTTGATGGAAAAGAGTGGGGAGCTGGGGTCCCGCTGCAGGATCTCCACGTGCTGCTTGGACTCCACCAGGGATGTGTGGATCAACTTGTTCATCAGTGACAGCTCTGCCAGCGACACTGGGAAAGGCAGCAAATGTTTTATTTACTGATAAATAAAACAAATGGAATCACAGAGTCATTGGGGTTGGGAGGGATATCTGAAATCATCCAGTCCAAACCCCCTGCCATGGCAGGGTCAGCTGGAGAGATGACATAGGAACGTGTTCCTGTAGGCCTGGAATGTCCCTAAAGAGGGAGAATCCAGGACCTCCCTGGGCAGCCTGTCCCAGCGCTCTGCTGCTCTCCATGTCAAGAAGCTCCTCCTCACGCAGAGCTGGAACTTCTTGTGTTTTAGTTTACAACAAAAGCCTTGTAATGGGAATCCTCTTCTCTCCAGAGGATTTCTTATTGTTCTGTGGGTTCACTACAAACACTGCAGACAACCTCCACCATTCCAGACTTACTATCACCGCACTCAAAAACGAGCACCTGAACACAGCGCGCTGAGCCCTCCCCTCCCGTGGCAGCCGAACACCCTGCGGATGACATTACGGCTGAATGCCGGCTGCCGGGCGCTCGCACCCACCTCTCTCGTCGTCCCGCGGCGCGGCGCGGGGCGCGGGGCGCGGCCGGAGCGCGCCCCGGCCCGGCTCGGCGCGGCGCGGCGCGGCGCCGTGCCACGGGCAGCCCGGCCCGGGGCCGTTCCCGGCGCCCAGCCCGCGCAGCCCGCGCTCAGCCCCCGCCATGGAGCCGCCCCGCAGGCCGGATGGGGCGGGAACATCCGGCACCGGCACCGGCGGCACCGGCGCACCGGGTACGGCCGGGGGGCGGCTGGGGGATCCGGAGGGTGCTCCTCCCTGTAAGGCTTGGGGGGTCCCGGGGGCGCAGAGCTGTCGCATGGGGAGCTGGGGACAGGGAGCAGGAGGAGGGGGAGTCCCCTGCTGGAGACAGGGCTTGGGGGCTGTGTCCCGCTCCCCGCAGGATGCTGAGTTCCGGGACACCGAGGGAAGGAGGTGTCCCCAAGGTGATGGAGATGCAGAGATCACATGGGGTTTTGGGGGTGCCTGGGATGTTGGGGGACAGGGAACTTAAAGGGCAGTGAGGGTCCCCAGCTGCACAGAGGGATCCTACTGGTGCCAGCACTGGTCCCCATAAGGTTTTGCGCGTCTCTGGGGCATTAGGGACACTGCCTTATAGCACGCATGTGGGGTCCCTATGGAGCTGGATGACAGGGACCCTGTGGAGCAGGAAGGGGCCCCTGCTGCACTCAGGGACCTCACAGGGTCAGAGAGGGGAGGGAAACGGCCCTTGGGTGCTGAAGGAGCATGGAAGCTGGAGGGGTGGGTGCTGTCCCCCACGGGGTTTGGGGAGAATTTCAAGGGTTCTGGGGTGCAAAGACCCCTTCACAGATGGATGGGGATCCACAGGATGCTGGAGAGTCAGGGGCCTCCAACCTGGAAGTTCCCCCAAGACACCAGAACCCCTGCACTGTGGGGTGACAGCAGAGTTCTCAAGCTTGTTTGTCCCCCATCTGGGATCACCTCCAGGGGAGGTTCAGGGGAAGCTGGACACAGGACTCCAGGCTGCAGCTGTCACATGCTTCCCACCATCCCACTCCCTTTTCCAGCCATCCCACTGAGCTTTCAGGGACCCTTTCCTGCACCAGAACTGCCACCTTTTCAGTCCATTCCCATATCATGGAAAAAAATTAACACTAGGAATAGCAATAGCACTACTAGTAGTGCTAATAATACTTTGCTTCCATCCTAAATCTCCTTTATTTTAAAGATGAGGTAAAATAAGGCAAAGGCAGCAGAGTTAGGTGATGCAGAGATAAGTCTGGAATAATGGATGTTTCCTGCAGTGTTTCTAATGAACCCACAGAACAATAAGGAATCTTTGCAGATGCTTTATTGAGATAGAAAGATACTGCCGAGACATTGCAAAGAAAACCTCCTCCACACCAAAGCTTAAGCTGCCTGAAGCACACCAGGGGGATTTTCCAGACAGTAGAGGATGTTGAGGAGGAGAAAGCAGCAGGGCTGGGGCTCTAGGAGCAGGTGTTCCGACGGGGCATGTGGCAGTGGGCCAGGTCCCAGCGCACGCCGAAGCGCAGGGAGTCGCGCTTCTTCATCGTGGGCACCTCGTACGTGTTGGGGACCAGGCGCTTCTGTGCCCGGCGCGGCAGCCCCGACTCCAGCATCTGCCTCCGCATGGCCCAGCGCACGCCCTGATGTGAATCCTGCCCGGGAAAGCTGAATCTCTTCCAGTCTTGCCTGTAGGCGTTAAGTCTGGCCACTGGGTCAGTCCTCTTCACTCTGTCAGCCTGAGGAGCAATGTAAGCGGCCACCGTGGGCGGCCGCCCTGGCACGGAGCGGTTGGATGTAGTGTCGCTCCTGAAATCCCCCAGTTGAGAGTAGGGCCTGTCCTCAAGGAACCAATCATCATCATCAAAGTGCACGTAGTCCTCCAAGGTGCCGCTGCTGCTCTCTGTTTCCCCTTCGGAGATGTTGTCATCCATAAAAGTCCTGGAATGCCCCAGGTTCCATGGATTGGTGTTTACATCTGGCTCAATGCTCGGTGACTCATCGGAGACCTCCAGGCTTCCATCGGGTCTGTGCCTCAGCACCTTCCTCTTCATCACCAACCTCCTGGCTTCCTTCTGATCCATGGGAACGGCTGACTGTGTGTCAAAACCAATGGACGTGTCAGCATAGGGATCATCCTGGAAACACAAAGGCACCTCGCAGCATCTCTGCCACGAGCTTGGCTGGCTCAGATCAGCTGCCAGCTGCTCCCTGCACTCTGCTCTTAGCACCCTCTCCATGGTTGCCACCAAACTGGGTGGATCCTGCAGAAAAAGAAACCAGGGTTAATTTATTGCAATACATTCAGGTTGGCTAAAAAATGTCAGAGGGGCTCTGATGCTCAAGTTTTTGGGTTCAGGGGTGTTGATTTAGGTTGGGGGTGTCCTCAGTGCACTGCTAAACCTCCTGCTGCCAGCAGAAGGCTCTTCCCTACAGTAACACAAACACAACCCCTAAATTCCTCTAGAAAACTACACTAAAATTAATTACCTGATAAGTTCTCATAAAAAACACAGGGCAGGTTCCATGCACTGGGTGAGAGATTAATGGTCTTTCCTTGTACCTCTGCTTCTAAACCCACAATATTTAGTCATAATTTAATCAAGAGACATCCAAGAGGGTGTTTTACTTCCAGGGGAGGGAAGGGCTCAGTGCAGTGTGTTTTGGTGCTCATTTATGAGTCTGTTGATTGATAGTAAACCTCCAGCCTTGTGACAAAGAGGGGTCCAGACATGGATTCCACTCTCAACACAGGTTTAGGATCTCTTTAAGGCGACTTGAAAAGCTGCAAGTGTTGCTGGTGGCACTGGGAACAGTGGGAGCAGATGGTGGGGCGGGATGAGTGGCAGCCGTCAGCACGCTGTCTGCAGCGGGATGCAGGTGTGAAAAGTGACAAAGGCTCCGTGATGGCTCGCCGGGAACGTGCTGCTGCTGACGGAGCAGATCCCATCAGCTGGGGGAAGAGGAGTGATTGAGGAGTCCAAAAAAAGATTTGAGTGAAATGAAGCTGCCTGAGCTAAGCACCAGTGGCCTTGCCCAGCCTGTGCTCCCCTGGGAACACCAAGGGGCTCAAACAATAAAGACTGACTCTGTTAGTAACAGTTATTTTGCAGAACAAGCCTAAAGATGTAATAAAAACCACATAAAAATGCAAATCCACTGGTTTTTTTTCTTTCCCTGCAGACCCCAAGGATCCACCAGCAACAAACTGACATTCCAAGGTGGTGGCTATGGCTGAGGAGAGCACGGCTACTGACCATGAGCAGCTCCTGAGGAGGGTGCAGGAGCTGGAAGTGGAGGTGAAGCGGTTGCAGGAGAAGCTCCAGGAGGACAAGGAGGGTGCTGGGAAGAGAGAGGCTCCTCCAGCCCCTGGGAAAGCCAGGAAACGCCAACAACGGCCCTTTGATTTCGCTGCCCACAGCCGCAGACATGTGGCACTGCGCATCGCCTACCTGGGCTGGGGCTACCAGGGCTTTGCCAGCCAGGAGAACACCCCCAACACCATCGAGGAGAAGCTCTTTGAAGCCCTGAAGAAGACACGGCTGGTGGACGACAGACAGACATCCAACTACCACCGCTGCGGGCGCACGGACAAGGGTGTCAGCGCCTTCGGGCAGGTCAGCATCTCCACGGGGGCTCCTGTCGCTTTTCCTGGGTGGGATGGAGATCTGATGGGATTGCTGTCCCACACCACAGCTTGGATTTGTTCTGTAAAAGCCATCAGCTCTTAACCCTGGAAGTGAACCTGGCAGTGGCTTCCTGCATGTGCAATGATGATTTCAGACCTTTGGAGCCTTTTTAGTGCCATTTCCCCCCCATATTAGTTGTTTTCCAGGGTCCTGTTTTAGGAGGACAAAATGTGTTTTAGGCTGCAGATTCCCCAATAGCTCGGTGATGCCCTGCCCTTGGCAGGGCCCTCTCGGCTGATTTAACTTGCCAACCCTACAAAAACCCAAAATCTCCAGGAACCAGCTCACTTCCTGCAGCATCAGGCAGCTGAATTCCTGCACAGAAGGGTCTGAGGGGAGCTGCAGCCAGCGGAAGGGAGTGTGGGAGTGGGAGCTGGAGGGAGGGAAGCAAGCTGGCCCGCTTGGTGAGCATGGAGCCATCGGGCTGGCTGAGACACTGGGGAGAGAGTAACCTTGGTGGCTTCACCACAGGGCTGGTTCACCTTTCTTCTCTCCCAGCACAGAAAGCAAAGCTGGTGTAGGTTTAACTTCAAATGGCTGCTCTGCTCTTCTTCACAGGATGAGCCACATGAAATCAGGGCATTTGGTGCCTTCTCTTGCACCACTTCAGCATACGGCACCCACGGTGGGAATGAACTTGTTCCTACACCAGGTTCCCGGGCAGCCAGGCTGTTACTGCCTTCAAGTCATCACCTCCAGCTTGAGAAAAAAAAAGCACATTATAACCCTGTGACTAAAGATGAAGCCATTCCGAGACTGTGCTACGTAGGCAGCCTGCAACTTTCCCTGTTTTATTAATGGAATCCATGGCATCTGCTCGGGTCCTCAGAGGCACTCGCAGCTCTGCCATGGCAGGATTGCCTGACTGAAACCACCTTCATCTGTAGGAGATCCTGGATTTATTTCCCAGAGGTGTGGGAAGACTTGGCTCCACATGCCGCTGCGCCCATCCATCCATGCTCTAATCCTGGCTTTCCTCATTTCTGCAGGTGATCTCCCTGGATCTCCGCTCCAGCCTGCCAGAGGGGCAGCAGCTCAACGGCCACGGGGGCGAGGGGCAGCAGGAGGAGCTCCGTTACACCCACATCCTGAACAGGGTGCTGCCGCCCGACATCCGGGTGCTGGCCTGGGCCCCCGTGGGGCCGGAGTTCAGCGCCCGCTTCAGCTGCCTGAGCCGGACCTACCGCTACTTCTTCCCCTGCGCCCAGCTGGACGTGGCCCTCATGGACAGCGCGGCCCAGCGCTACGTGGGCACCCACGACTTCCGCAACCTCTGCAAGATGGACGTGGCCAACGGGGTGCTCAACTTCCAGAGGACGATCCTCAGCGCCAGAGTGACATGGGTGGACGGGGGAGGAGAAGCCAGGCCACGGGATCCCTTCCGGCTGTGCCAGTTCGAGGTGACGGGGCAGGCGTTCCTGTACCACCAAGTCCGCTGCATGATGGCCGTGCTCTTCCTCATCGGGCAGGGCATGGAGAGCCCAGATGTCATTGATGAGCTGCTGAACGTGGAGAAGAACCCCCGGAAACCACAGTACAGGTAGGGACTGGTCTGGAAAACCCAATGGGCTGCTCTTCACGGCAACAGCTATGCCTGGAGTGCTGCTGGCAAGCCATGCCAGCACATGAAGCGGTCTCACACGTGCAAACAGATGGCCAGTGGTCCCACTGGTATGTATCCTCAAGGATTTCTGTTTCCTTGCTCTTGAGCTAAGTTTTGATAGCAGTAGTCCTCGGTATTGGGTGAAAATTAAGTCACTTTTTACTCAGGAAGTTCTGTGAAGGTTAGGGCTGTTTTTGGCAGATCCATTGTTCTCGAGCCTTTTTGTGGTCCCACGTCCTCTCCTTGTCCCCAGCATGGCGGTCGAGTTCCCCCTGGTCCTGTACGACTGCGAGTTCCCAGACCTGCAGTGGCTCTACGACCCAGAGGTGCAGGGCTTCAACGTGACACACTTGCAGCAGCTCTGGGCCAGCCACGCCGTCAAAACCCACGTGCTCCGGGACATGTTGGCAGGGCTGGATGCTGCTCCCATGGCCACAGCAAAAGGTAGAAGGACTCTGGGGGGGAATAACTTGGAATGCACGCTGACAGGCAGCACGCTTAGATGGGATATCGGGAATAAATTCTTCCCTGGGAGGGTGGGCAGGCCCTGGCAAAGGGTGCCCAGAGCAGCTGTGGCTGCCCCTGGATCCCTGGCAGTGCCCAAGGCCAGGGTGGACAGAGCTTGGAGCAACCTGGGATAGTGGAAGGTGTCCTGCCCATGGCAAAGGGTGGAATTTGATAAGCTTTAAGGTCCATTCCAACACAACCATTATGGGATTCTGTGAATTACAGAGGATTAATTTGTTTTTTAAAAAAAAAAAAAAATAAAAAGAAGGGACGGGATAATTACAATTAAATGTTGTCTTTCCATGCCACAGATCCAGGGAGCAGCCTGGTGCCCTGGGGTGAGCTGCAGCCCCCGCTGCACAGCCACATCAGCGGCTTCGTGGAAGGGGTGCAGGCCCGCACCTACAAGCCGCTGCTGGCCCGGCCCAGGTGCGAGGGGCTGGAGGCGCGGATCGAGCACTTCGTGCGGAGGGGCCGCATCGAGCCGCCCCGGGGCTGCGGCGAGCCCCCCGCGGGCAAGCGCGGCAGCAGCGCCGCCCCCGAGCAGCTGCCCAAGAGGATCTGCGCGGACCCCGAGTGACGGGGCACCTCGGCGTGGGGCAGCTGACGCCTCACCCTTTTTAAAATGCCTGCTATTGAAAAAAAAAAAGGTGTTTTTTCAGTGCTATTTTTTATAAATCTCAAGAGAACCGGCGTAACGGTGTTGTGCTGTGGCTCGGGGGCAGTGGGAGGGGGCTGAGCGCCCCGAGGGGCGGCAGTGAGGGGTGGCTGCGGCGGTGCCGGCTGGGACCCCCCGCCCCTCTCGCTCCCCGTACCTCGGGCCGGCCGCGCCGCTCGCGCCGCTCCGTTGTGACCGCAACCGCCGCCGCGGTTTAAGCACCCCCGCGCGCCGCCATTGGCCAGCGCGGCTGTCGCTCAGCTGGCGGCACCTTCCCATTGGACAGGCGCTCCGCGGTGCCGCACCCGCGCCGCCGCCATTGGCCAGCAGAGGGACGCGGAGAAGGAGAGAAGATGGCGGCGGGCGGTGGGGCGGCGAGGCGCTGTTGGCGGAGCGGCGCGGGGCTGGCCGGGGCTGTACGTGGCATCTGCGGGAGCGGGCGGGCGACGGCGGCTGTGCGGGCGGAGGAGCTGGCAGAGCGGCTGCGGAAGAGCGAGGAGCAACAGCGGGAGGTGAGCGGAGTGCAGGCCACTGGGCCCGGGGTCTCCGGACTACAGCTCCCGGCGTGCACAGCGCGGGCGGTGAGCTGGATTGGGTTGGGATGGGAGAAAACCATCCAGTTCCACCCGCTGCCATGGGCAGGGACACCTTCCCCTATCCCAGGGTGCTCCAAGCCCCGTCCAGACCTGGCCTTGGGCAGTGCCAGGGTTGGGGCAGCCACAGCTGCTCTGAGCAACCCGTGTCAGGGCCTCACCACCCTCAGAAGGGAAGAATTTCTACCTAATATTCCCTCTGTCCGTGTGAAAGCCATTCCCCCTTATCCTGTCACTCCAGGCCCTTGCCCAAAGTCCCGCTCCAGCTGTCTTGGAGCCTCTTTAGGCACTGGCAGGGGCTCTGAGCTCTCCCTGGAGCCCTCTCCTCTCCAGGTGAGCATCCCCAGCTCTCCCAGCCTGGCTCCAGAGCTGAGGGGCTCCAGCCCTTGGAGCATCTCCGTGGCCTCCTCGGGCCTGGCTCCAGCAGCTCCAGCTCCTTCCTGTGCTGGGAGCCCTGAGCTGGAGGCAGCTCTGCAGGTGGGGTCTGTCCTGGGGGGCAGAGGGGCAGAATCCCCCCTGCCCTGCTGCCCACGCTGGGGATCAGCCCAGCCCAGGGGGGTTCTGGGCCAGGGCCTGCCCAGCTCCCACCCACTGCACCCCGAGTGCTCCTCCCAGAGCTGCTCTCCAGCCCTTCACCCCCAGCCTGGACTGGTCCTGGGGGTTGCCCGACCCAGGTGCAGCACCTGCCCTTGGCCTCACTGAACCTCATGAGATTGCCCAAGGCCACTGACTGAGCTTGTCACGATCCCTCTGGATTCCAGGCTGTCCCCCAGCCATGGAGCAGGAGCACATGGAAGGCGAGCAGATTGCTGCAGGTTCCAGTGCAGGTCTGTGTGAGAGCCAAGAGCTGTTTAAACCCCACCCCTGGTGTCTCATTCTCTCCTCAGATCCCCAAGGACCCGACGCAGCGATGGCTCCGGGAACTTGCTGCAATGAGCCAGCAGCTACAGCAGGTTCACCCCAATGTCCTGGCCAAGATCCTTAAGCAGAGAACTCTATACCAGAATGAGGAGATTGTGGTGATAGACAAACCCTATGGACTCCCTGTGCATGGTGAGGGCAAGTGGGGAATGGAAATGGATCCGTGGTGCTTACGGGATCCTCTGTCACTGTCCTTCCTGTGCTGGGCTTTCCCTTCCCAGGGAGGGCTCCAGGGGTTTGGTCACTGTCAGATCTCAGCCTTCCCCTGGCAATTTGGGGTGATTTAGGGTGCATGGGGAGTACAAGAGATGAGACTCCTTGCTGCCCTGGGTCACACAGGCGGCCCTGGCATCAAGAACTGCATCGCTGATGTGCTGCCCATTTTGGCCAAGATGCTGGAGAACATGAAAGCTGAGCCTCTCCACCTCTGCCACCGGCTGGACAAGGAGACCACGGGTGTGATGGTGCTGGCACGGAGTAAGGAGGCAGCAGAGAAGATCCGTCTGCTCTTCAAAACCCGTCAGGTGGAGAAGATCTACTGGTAGGAAAGGCTTGAATGAAAATGGGGCTGTGAAAGGCATTTAAAAAAAGGGTGAGCCCCCAGTCCCTGAGGTGTGGGGGCTTTGTGGAGATTGAGGGTGTTGTTTATCTCCCCCCTTCAGCACCATTTTTTGGGACTGGCTTGTGAGAGAGGGGCTGAGGGGAGGGTTCCCTTCCTGTGAGAGCAACACCCCACAGACCTCAGCTTTCCCTTTCCAGGGCAATTGTCCTGGGGGACCCGGACCCTGTTGAGGGCGTTGTGGAGATCCCCATTGTGGAAAAGGAGGTGCAGAGCCACCAGTCCCACTACAAGGTGAGTCCTGTGTTCCCTCAGCCGCCGTTCTGGCCAGGCAGCCCCAGCATCCCCTCGTGTCTCCCCCAACTCCCCCTCTCACCACCCTTCAGATGACGCTGGCTCCCAACTACCGCCTGTGTCCGGAGGATGGGAAGGTGATGAGGATCCGCGGGAACCGGCACGCCGAGCGCGCGGTGACGCGGTACCGCCGGCTGGCCGCTGCCTCCGCCTGCTCGCTGCTGGAGCTCCAGCCCATCACCGGTGAGTGAGGCCTGCCCCGCAGTCCCGGGGCTGCATCCGCTCTCTGTGCAGTCAGCAGCAGCTCTGGAAGGGGGAACTTGTGATTAGACAAGATTGGAATTGTTTCTGGGACAAAGCTCTGGGAATGAGCCCTGCTGGGGTGACGCTTTGCTGCCGAGCTCTTTGCCAGCTGCCAGCGATTTCTGCACAGCTTTGCCCAGCATTGAGGTGACGCCTGGCACAGCTGGATGTCAGCTTTCTCCCCCTTTTCTCCACAGGGGTGAAGCACCAGATCCGGGTTCACCTGGCCTATGGCTTGGGATGCCCCATCCTGGGGGATCACAAATACTCGCACTGGAGTAAACTGGCACCCCAGGTAAGGCAGATCTTGCACTGGGCAGCAGCTGGAGCTGGACACGGCCCCTTGTGTCCCCCAGCTGCTCGTGGGCTGGGGATTTAAAGTCCCAGCTGAAAAGCTGCAGTTTTGAAGGGAAAATTTTCTGTCCTTGCTGCAGAAGCTTCCTGAACACACCCTGAGGAGGCTGAAGCTGGAGCAGAGCAAGGCTCGGCACCTGCCCCTGCACCTGCATGCCCACCGGCTCTGCCTGCCCCTGGGCCAGCCCTTAGACTTTGTCTGCAAGCTGCCCCTCTTCTTCCAAAAAACCCTGAGGAAGCTAGAGCTGGACATCCCTAAGGACTGATGAGGCAGGACTGGAATGGTGCCATGTATCTCCGTATCTCCAGCACGTGACAGCAGCTGTGCCCACCTTGGAACCAGTGGTGGGGTGAAGCCTGCAGTCTCTGTGCTGGTGCTGATGTTGCTGGATTCAGAATGGGTGCCTACATGAGCTTCTGACCCAGGAAAGGAGCTGGATATGCTGAGGAGCCTCTAGCAGAGATGAACAAAGCTGAGTGAAAGTTGGATTTTGCCTGATTCATGTTTTGAACTTGTCTCTGGGCAATAAAAGCTCCAGTTTCCTTGAGGGAAGGTGGTGTGTGTCTCTGTGCTCTGGCTGGGTGGGACTCAGTCCCTCTGTAGGTTTGAGCAAATGGGGTTGCAGCCCTTCCTAGATTTTAGAATTGTTACTTGTCTCTCCAGCATTGTTTAGCTCAGATTTAGAGAGTCCCTTCATTGGAAAATCCATCGAAAGTGCAATTTGGCAGTGGCTGTGGTATTTCTTTGCTGTGCTGAGACTNCTCCAAGTTGTCAATCCTCCCTTTCCCTGCCCCTTTCCCCAGAACATTCCCTATCATTCCTCTCAGCCTCCTCCCCTGCTTCCAGACCCTTCCCTGTCTATTCAGTGAGGCTCAACACCCTATTGGTTACTTTGTGTTACTCCACTCCCCTGTTTCCCCTGATAGGTTTGTGTTATGTTAGTCCCGCCTTAAACTCCTCCCCAGCCCTACCCCCATTGGTTGCTGTTCCTACTCCCCTCCCCTTAAGTTCTGTATAAAACCTTTGTTCGCCCTCTCCATAAGGTCTTGGGGCTCACCGAATAAATCCATCTTGTTCGCCCCCAAGTCCCGTGTCGCCTTCCTCTGTTCCCGCGCCACCGACTGGGACAGCAGAGCACCCCGGGGGGAGCGGCCGCCCGTTCTCTTCCCTCTCGCCGCCCAGCACGCCACCGCTCGGGGTATTGCGGCGAGGGGGGGCGCAAGCCACGCGCCGCAACAGCCCTTCCTAGATTTTAGAATTGTTACTTGTCTCTCCAGCGTTGTTTAGCTCAGATTTAGAGAGTCCCTTCATTGGAAAATCCATCGAAAGTGCAATTTGGCAGTGGCTGTGGTATTTCTTTGCTGTGCTGAGACTGCACAGGGAGTTCCTTGGCTTGGCTGGGCTGAGCAGCTCTGTGACTGCCCCTGCTCTGTGCTGCCAGCAGCTTTGGTGTGGGTTTCTCAGCACTGTGCTGCTGGGAAACTGTTCTGTCGCACTGCTCCTTCAGTTACCCTATTCCTTATTTTTAGAACCCCTTATTGAGATCCCCTGCCCTTGGGAACTTTCCTTGAAACCAGATTCTTCCCCCTGTGCCCTGAGAGGGAGACAAGAGGAGGACTGATGATCTGGGGAAGTGCAGCTGATGTTCTTTCTGCCTCAAAATTACCTCATTTGATGTCTCCTGATCTGCCTGGGAAGCTTGGGACTGGGCAGCAGGATGTTCTCTGGCCCTTCTGACTGGTTTGGGTGATGGAAAGGGGTTTTTATGCCCCACAGGGCCACTGTGTATCTGGCTGGGGCTTCTTGCTGTAGGAGGGCCCAGTCTCCTGGCTCCCTGCTGAAAATAGCTGGGGACTCCCATGCCCTCGGGCCACAGCGCCAGAAATTGTTGGCTGATGAGAGAGGGACATAAAACCACGGGGAGCCAGGAGCGGCTGCGGCCGGGCAGGAACGCTGCCCTGCAGGAATGCTGCCCTGCAGGAATGCTGTCAGGGAGGAAAGCTGCTTTCCCAGCCCGCTGCCTTCCCCGCTCACTGCTGCGGCTGCTGGGGTGGGTTTTTCTATTTCTGTTTGTGAAAAGGCTTCCCCTGTAATTACGAGGTGATTTAACGCCTTGTCTGAGCTGTTGCTGTCGTTCACAGCTGCCGGACACAGAACTGGGCAGGCTCTCGGCAGGGACTCCTCAGCCCAGCAAAGTTACTCTTTGAGCCAGTCACACCTCAGGCAGCCTTCATCAGTGTCTCTTCCTCACTTCAAAATGTCCCTCTCGCACACGGCTGCTGAGTACATGCTCTCTGATGCTCTGCTCCCGGATCCCAGCAGCTCCCGAGCCAAGGGCTTGCGGCTGGAGCTGCCAAGCGATCGCCTGCTGAAGTTTGTCACCGTGGGGCTGCCCCTCTTCCTCGTCTCACTGGCTTTCGCCCGGGAGTTCTCTGCTGGTGAGTTGCAGCTTTTCCAATGTGTTCTTCAGGTCGTGGGCAATCGCTAGTGGTGATTTGGTTGTTGTGGCAAACCCTTTGTATTCTGTTGTTGTGGCAAACCCTTTGTATTCTTGACGGTGTCATGATCGAAAGCGGAACAGCCTGGAAATTTGGTTTTAGGAGCTGTTCTGCCTCATGGGTGTTTATTGATTGTTTTAATGGATCATAATTCCCTGGGAGAGTGTAGGAACAGTTGTGCTAACCTCAGGAGCAGCACTGAGACAATGCCCAGCCTCAGCTGCTTGCGCACAGCACCTTTGGGTGCCATAGGCTTATTTCCAAGGAGAAGGAAGAAGAGGAGGAGGGTGCCAGCAGCATGGAGAGATGCATTGTGACCTCAGGATAAATCTGGCCTCGGCCAACATCTAACTGCTCTCCCTGAGGATTTGGTTTTACTCCAGTTTCTGGCTGGTTAGCCTATAATTCCCTACACTGTGTACACATTGCTACACACAAAGGGTTTGTGTTCGGGAAGAGATGGAAAAGTCCTGGCTAGAAACACAGCATCTCCAAAATGACCATGAAAAAGGCTTTTTTTAAATTCAAAGCAATGCCTGAGATGTAATTACCCTCCTGTAAGGCATTTGCCCGTGGCTTTGGAGTGTTCCTCCACGCTCCATGGCTGAGGTTTGCTCTCCTCCTCCTCACCCCAGGCTCCCAGATCAGCTGCTTCTCTCCCACCAACTTCACGGGGAAGCAGTCCGCCTACACCGACACAGCTTGCTGGGACTCCCTCATCCACCATGGCTTCGACGCCAAGGGACGTGCCATCACCAAGTCCCTCTGGGCTCTGAAGGTAGTGTCAAAGTCACGTCTGGGCGCCCCTGCATCCCATCGGGGTGTCCACAGCAAGAGCAACTCGACATCCTCAACAACTGTTCGTGTTCTTTGCCCAGGTCTTCCCCTACTCACTGCTGGTGGTGGCGGTGCTGATGTACCTGCCGTACCTGCTGTGGCGTTACGCTGCCGCTCCCGCCCTGCACTGCGACCTCCTCTTCATCATCGACGAGCTGGATAAATCCTACAACCGCTCCGTGCGCCTGGTGCAGCACATGAAGAAGGTCCAGCAGGCCAGTGCCGAGCCGGAGCAATTCTGGGAGGAGTACGAGAGGTGAGGCCAGGCCAGGTCACCGTGGCCCTTGGAGTCCCTCCACGTGGTGTTGTGGCTGCACCCAGGATGGACCTGGGTGAAATGGGGGGTGGCTCTCACTCCCCCTGTGTCCCTCCTGCCCCAGGGCCCGCGAAGAGAGGTATTTCGAGTTCCCATTGCTGGAGCGGTACCTGACCTGCAAGCAGCACACCCACGCGCTGGTGTTCATCTACATCCTGAGGAACCTGCTGCTGCTCCTGTTCTTGGCTGCCACCTGTCTCTACCTGGTCTTTCTCCACCTTAACATCTTCTTCCAGGATGAGTTCAGCTGCTCCATCAAAACGGGGTTGCTCCAAGCGGAGCCACACATCCCATCGCTCATCCCTTGCAAGCTGGTCTTCTTCTCCGTGTTCCAGCTCATCAGCCTCTCAGTTGGCAGTGTCTATGTCCTCCTCATCCCTGTTGTCATCTACAATGCCCTGCAGCTCTGCCAGTGGGACAAGGGACTGCTCTCTGTCTATGAGATGCTGCCTGCCTTTGACCTGCTCAGTCGCAGGATGCTCACCTGCCCCCTCAACGACCTCAACGTCATCCTTCTCTTCCTCCGTGCCAACATCTCCGAGCTGACCTCCTTCAGCCGCCTCAATGCCGTCAGCGCCCTGAGGGAAGCCACTGCCAACAAGGAGGACATCGATACCGTCATCGATTTCATGACGCTGCTGGCTGGGCTGGAGACCACCAAGCCCAAACACCAAGCTTGCACCCCCGAGGCCAAAGGCAGTCCAGCCCTCTCCAATGGTGCAGCCCTAGGTAGGCTTTTTGGGTAGAGACAACTTCTTCCCTCTTCTCTTGGCTCCCACACCACAAGATCCCGCCCTTGAAATGTGGCTGGACCACCCAGAATCCTATGCCAAGACCTTAAGGTGTTTGGGGCATAGCTGGGGGTCACTGTGAGGGCTGGCAAATCCTGGAAGAGGTTCTGGCATGCAGAGTGTGATGCTACTGCGATCCAAGGTGTGGGCAGGGGTTGCTATAGGAACAGCAAGCCAAGAGATTGCTGCTTAAATCCAAGCTCTGGGCAAACTGCGGGGCTGGGAGGGTCCCTGTTTTTTGGCAGCTCATCCTGCTGGGAATGGGGTTGGGAGTTTAAATCCTGGGGGGCTGATGCCAAGGATGCCGTGCCCGCCCCCTTCTCCCATTCATATGGCACTGGTGGGTACAGTGATTCTGTGTGTGGAGATGGAGATGGGTTCCAAGATAAAACCACATTCCCAGGACCTACACTGCTCCCTCTCCCACGTGCTTTGGGTTTTTTGGGGCTGGATGCCTCCTCTGGGGTCTCACAGGGATCCCTGGCGCTCATGGCAAGTGGTTTGCAGGGTGTGTGAGACAGCCCAGCCCCACAGGTAGGAGCTGAGAGGCCTGGGCTTCATACCTGGTCCTGAACACAGTCTGAATTATGGTTTAAAAAATCCACAGACTGAGCTGGAGTCTGCATCCTCGTTACCATGGCAACCCAGGGCCAGCACAGCTGGCTCCTGGGCCAGTTACTTGGTGCTGGAAAAAGCCCAGATCCTAGTCTGCCAGTGCCCAGCTAATTAACTGTATGCTCTTCCCCCCTTGTCTAGAACCAAAGCCTGGAGTGGAAACGATGGGAAAAGCCTCACGGGACTCACTTGGCTCTGCCTGATCCTGAAGAAGGCAGCAGACAGGGATCCTGTGATCCCTGGATCCACTTCTCTGACACAGCTGTACTGCAGCAGCTGGGCTGAACCTTCCTGCACCTGGCCTTTCCCTTCATGTGTACATTTTTCCAGCAAAAAAAAGGGTTAAATAATCCGTGTTTTGTGTAGAACCTCTTGGGTCTCTTATTCTAAGTGCTGGGTGCTATGCTGTGCCTCTTCCACATAAATTTCCCTCCTCTTATGGCAAGAGGTGGGGAATAGAGGATTAGGAGTGCTCATCTGAATGCAAAAAAAGGATTCAGGAATAAAATGAGGTGGTTCCTTAACCGTTTATTAAGAGGGAAGTGGAAGGCACTTGCAGTCCTCCACAGCTCCCTGTCCCAGCCCAGCATTTGGCTGTGTTTTTTTTGGCACAGCTCCTCTTTCCCCCTCTCCACCTTGCAGCTGGAAGCTGATCCCTGGATCCTATGAGCACCCTACCCTCAGGATCAGCAGTCTGTGCCCAGAGAAATGGGGTGTCTGGGGGCCAGGACCAGCTCCATGGACTAGAGAGCAGCAGTGAGGGGTTCAGCTCCCATTGGTGTGTCCTGCTGCTTCTCCTTACATAATTTTTCATATATTTAATTGTAAATTGGTTTTTTCCCCTTCCCCCCACCCTGCAGCCTTGGCTCGAGTCCACAGAGGAGCTGAAAAGTTGTTTAATTAATAAGGTAGTAATGAAGCCTCTGATTCTTTTGCTTGGGAAGGGACAGTGCCAGGAGCCATGAGTGCTTTGCCAGAGGTCTGAGCTCACTCATCTCCCTAATTTAGGAGGAAAATGGAGCCAGGGAGGAGCAGCAGCTCTCTCCCTCCAGCAGCGTTTCCTCCAGGGAGGGTGTCCAGCAGGAAGGGGGGTGCAGGCAGCCCCTGGGAGTTGTAGAGGGGGCAGGCCTGGTACTCACAGGGCCACTCAGCCCAGGCATAGCGCAGGCCCAGCACCAGCGTCCTGCAGCCACTCGGGGCCAGCGTCACCGTGCGGGACCCTACTGCCACCACTGGTGCCAGCAGCCACTGGCATGGGGATGCCTGGCTGGGGCAGCACACCTGGGAAGGGGAGAAACCCCCATCAGTGTTGCCTTCCCTTGCACAGCTCTTTGAAGAAGATATCCCAGTCCTCACCTCAAATGCCTGAGCATTCCTCTGACGGCAGATGAGCTCCTGGCTGTAGGTGACATTCAGCAGGCCCCTGGTCACCTCCAGGATTGCCCGGGTGGGATACGGTCCCTGGAACACAAGGCCCTTGTCCCCATACGCCACAGCCATGGCACCCAGCAGCAGTCGGTGAGCCACATTCTGCTTGTCCCGGGGGTGGATACTGCCCAGGAAGAGGAGGAAGATGGAGCTGGAACCCAAAATCTCCATCCCTACACCCTCAACCCAGCCCAGGACTCACCTGCCATAGGGAGAGTGCTCATCACCCAGATCCATGGCTACAGCCATGAAAGTGCTGGGCATCCTGGCATTGGGAACAATGCCCAGGTCAGCTGTTTGGTGCCAGCGGAGCCGGGCAAAGCTGTCATCTGCACTCCGATGGCGGTAGGTGGACAGCTGCGAGGCACAAGGGAAACAGGGGAGTGGCTCAGATCCAAAACTGGCCACTGTGGTCCCTGCCTGGGATTTTCAGCACTTGGCAGGATGCACATGTGTTTACAGATCCTCTCCCTGGACATCCCCCAAGGACAATGGGGGATGTCACCCCTCTCACCCCCCCCACACCTGCACAAAACCAAAGGGGAGGAGTGGCTCCGTCTGCCTGGCTGATCCGGTGTGGAATGCCCAGCGCCAGTCGGCAATGAGTGCAGGGAAGGTGCAGTTGTACTGGTCTGTGTTCAGGAAGGCATTGGCCTCACCTGTCCCCCAAAAAGAAGGGCTGGTGAGAGCTTGCTGGGACAGTGGGGGCTGCTCCACACCAGGGGATAGAAAGGGGGGGCTCACCCTGGTACCAAGCGACACCCCGCAGGGTCATGTTGAGCAGCGGGTGGATCATGGCGTTCCAGAGCACGGAGGGTGTTTGTGGGCCAGAGAGATGCTGATGTGGAGAGGTGCTGGAAGACAAAGCTAGGTTTAAGGGAGGTGCAAAGCACAAGGCAGCCTTTAGGTTAAAGCAAGCACCATGCCAAAGGGAGATCTGGAGTCCCTCCCTTCTCCCTTTACCCACCCAGACGTGCCTTATGCTCTTGGCATGGGAGGGGTTTTTATCCAGAGGGGGCATAGTGATGCACAGAGGAGGCTGTGAGGGTCCCAGAGAGGAGGTGGGGTGGGAAGGGATGAAGATACTCCCCAAAAGCAGCATGGTACAGAGCAGGAGGAGTTTCCACAGCACCTTCTCTCACCTCCCTGTGTCCTCTGGGAGCCCACATGCCTGCAGAACCCGGCGGGAGGACCAGGCCTCGATGGGGGTCCCCCCCCAGGCCACCTGCACCAGCCCGATGGGGGACCCCAGAGCCTCATACAGAGAGCGCCCCAACAGCCAGCACACGGCCGAGAAGTAGGTGAAATTCCCGTGGCCCAGGTTTTCTGCTCAAGAAACAGTAGGCTGCAAAGGGAAACAGTGGGGAAAAAGCCATTTGCAAGCTCTCTTTTGGAGGCACATTGCACTTACCAGCTGTTGGAATGGACCATGGCAAATCAATCTGCTCCAGGTCCTCCAGCTCCACTTCGGCGCGGGCAGGTGCTGCAGCAAAGATACGGACGTAGGGATAGCGAGCGGCGGCGGCGAGCTCCTGGCTGGCATTGGCCACCTGAAGAAGGGCCAGGAGCATGCAAGGCAATTCCCTGCCTGATCCCTACCTGGTCCTGCCTGATCTGTGCCATAGGGCCTTACCTGCAGGACTGTCATTGCCATGTTGCTCTGCCCACTGCAAAGCCACACATCTCCAAAGTAGATGTCCTGCAGTGTCACGTTCTCCAAGCCCTGCTCAGCCCTCAGTGCATAGGGACCGCCCCGATCCATTGGGTCCAGGACAGTTGTCCAAGTCCCAGAAGGTCCTGGAGGAAGAGGATGATGCTTATCTTCCTTTATGAAAGCCTCAAGACCTTCACCAGGATGTTGGATGAGCAGCCAACAGCCACTGGGGAAGGAGAGGCAACAGGGAAAAGCTTCTCCACCACAGAAATAGATTGGGGAAGAGGATTTCAGAAGCTCTCTGGCATCAGAGGGACCTTTCCTGCAGGAATTTAGGGGTTAAAAAAGAAAACCTGGAAAACAAATGTGTGTCAGAGCAGAAGCTGCTGGGAGGAACTGGGATTACAAGAGCAGCTTGGTGTGTGTGACACTGAGATGTCTCCAGCTAATTTTAGAGGCGCCAAATCAAAGCGTAAAGATATTCTGCTGGAGCTTAGCATGGATTTTCTGGCTGGATCCTGCAGATCTCCTGGATTGCTGCTCTCCCACAAGACACCTCCAGTCTCTTCATCTTATGGAGGTGCCCTTGGGCAGCACTTTTACCCTCCAAAGATGATGAGTTCCCTCCCAACTCTTCAGGCAGGGATGTAGCTGGATTTGAGGTGCCCCTGAGCCCTCCCAGCTCCAGGAAGGCTCTGCTTGCACAGACAGCACCCTTATGGGCTTAGAGATCCCACAGGATCCTCCAAGGGGGCTCAGATTGAAAAAGAACCTGGGGATGCTCTGCAGGTTCCTCAGACCTGGTTTAGACAGGGAGAGAAGCTACATTCCCCTTGTCCCCTCCACAGCCTCAGCTCCAGCCTGTGCAGTGCCACCCACTCCAGCAGCAGCCAGGCTCCCGCTGGGCACCCACGGGATCCACTGCTGGGAACCAAAGTGAGCAAAGGCTGGCACTGCTGGGGAGGGCAATGGCTGAGCCCCCCAGGTCTTCTGGAGGGGGAAAAGCATGAGCTGGAGATGTCACCAGCACCTCTGCAGCCCCAGGGCAGCAGTGTGACAAACACAGGGGTGGTGCCAAAACCTGTCTCACCCATCCCACCTGATTTGGGCTCAGATGAATTCTTTGGCCACCAAAACCATCAGCCCCATTTCTAGTGAAAGTCTTGGACTGACCTTTAACCTGTGCTGTTTTCTCCATGATGATGAGGCCACTGGCACCTGAGAGAGTCAGGGTCACCATGGCCCCATGCTCCCCGTGGCCCCACACCACAGCCCCTGACGGCTTCTGCTGCAGCACCATGTGGTCACCATAGTAGGAGGCAAAGCTGAGCATTCCCCCTGGAATCAGCAAACAGTGCAAACATCAGCTCCGAGAGAAAAACACCCTCAGCATGGCCTCTAACCCCCTCTTAAATACAGGTTATTTGAGATCCCGCTGAATTTACAGACTCCTGGTCAGCTTTAAGGTGGTTAAAATCACCACAGAGCTGAGGAAGAGGCAGAATTTAAACTCCACAAGAGGGAGTTCACCTCCTCAAGTACAGGGAGCATGTTACATCTTTATTACATGGATTTGGACACAGATTTTGTAAAAATTCCCCTAATAACAGCATAGGAGTGTCTCTCTCAGCCCAGCCTTGCTAATGAATATTCTGATGCATTCTTCCCTTGGAAAAAGGTTTGTCGAGGGGTGGGATGGAAACATCGGGTGTGCAGCATTGGCAAAGGCACCTTCAGTGGGGATGGAAGCAGAAGGCTCAGGCCTGGCACCTCCAAGAGCCCCATATTTGCAGTGTGAAAAGAAAATCATGTTTGAAAAGAGGGTCAGAAGTAATGTGTGAGGGGTGATCTGGGCAGAGAACCCCAGTGACCAAATTGGAGCTCATGGAGCCTCATCTCCTCTGCAGCTCACCCTAGGCTGGGTTTGAGGAAGGAAAGGGGAAGGGAAAGGGGAAGGGGAAGGGAAAGGGAAAGGAAAGATGTCCTCGGCCCCTCAGGAGTCAGCTGCATTGCTGGTCCCGCTGCCTCATGCCACAAGGCTCTGAGAGTTATATAAAAAACAAGTCGGAGGAGAGAAAAAAACCTAAAACTGAGACGCCAGGGAAGAGTGGAAGCTATAAAAAGCAGCTGGGAGGAGGAAAGGGAAGAAGAAGGGAGGAGGGAAGGGAGGAGGGCCCACGAGACAGCACCAAGGAGCCGCATGCGGCTCCCACCTTACGTAAACCATCGTCCCACGGCAGCAGTGCTGGGCCAAGGGCGTTGGGGAGGGGCTGGGGGTGTGAAGGGCATCAAAGTGAGACTTGGGGGATGCAAAGGGCATTGAACTGGGGCTTGGGGGGATGCCACGTTTGTCAAAGTGGGACTCAGGGGTGTCAAACTGGGGCTCTGGCAGTGCAGAGGGCACAGAAGCAGAGCTTGGGGGTGTAAAGAGTGTGAATGATGGGTGGGGGGGGTAACAAGGACATCTAAACTGGGGTAAAGGAGAAGCCAAAGACATCAAAGTGGGGCTGGGAGGGCACCAAGGGCCCCAGAGTGGGGCTGAGACTAGTGCCAATGTCATTAAAGATGGTCTGGGTGTTCAAAGCTATCAAAGTGGGGCTGGGAGGATTTACAGGAGGTGCCAAGAGGGGCACCCGAAAAGTCGGGCTGGGCAAGTGCCAATGCACATACGAAGCTCGGAGTGTGCAAAGAGCACCAAATCAGGGCTTGGGAGGGCTTAGGGAATTCCCTGTGCATCGGAGCCGGGCTGCTGCGATGCCAAGGGTTCTGGCGATGCCAAGTGCCCCCAGGTGGGTTTCGGGGGAGGGTCCCAGGGGAGGCCCGCTGCAGAGGACACCCGCGGGGCCGGGGGTCGGACGGTGACCCTGGCCAGCCCTTTACCTGCCACCGCCGGAGCCAGGGCCAGCAGCGCCAGCAGCGCCCACGCCGCCATCCCGGGGGACCCCGGACCGCCAGGCGCCGGCACCCCGCGCTGCTCCCGGTCCCGCCGGCGCCCCCGGGCCGCCCGCGGGCGGGGCCTGTGCACGCGCCGCCGTGACGGGCCGTTGCCCGGCGACGCGTCCGCGGCACGGCCTGAGGTGCCGGGAGCGCCCGGGCCGGCCCCGACGGGAGAGCCCGAGGGGAAGGGCCGGGAGCGCGGGGCCGAGGGTTGCGGGGCTGCGGGGGGAGCCGGGGCTCACCGGGGAACGGAGCCGGGGCACACCGGGGAACGGAGCCGGGGCTCACCGGGGGACGGAGCCGGGGCTCACCGGGGAACGGAGCCGGGGCTCACCGGGGAACGGGAGCCGGGGCACACCGGGAAAGGGGAGCCGGGGCTCACCGGGGAACGGAGCCGGGGCTCACCGGGGAACGGGAGCCGGGGCTCACCGGGGAACGGGAGGAGCCGGGGCTCACCGGGGAACGGGAGCCGGGGCTCACCGGGAAAGGGGAGCCGGGGCTCACCGCGGAACGGAGCCGGGGCTCACCGGGGAACGGGAGCCGGGCCTCACCGGGAAAGGGGAGCCGGGGCTCACCGCGGAACGGGAGCCGGGGCACACCGGGGGACGGGAGCCGGGGCTCACCGGAGAACGGGAGCCGGGGCACACCGGGAAAGGGGAGCCGGGGCTCACCGGGAAAGGGGAGCCGGGGCACACCGGGAAAGGGGAGCCGGGGCTCACCGGGGAACGGGAGCCGGGGCACACCGGGAAAGGGGAGCCGGGGCTCACCGGGAAAGGGGAGCCGCGGCTCACCGGGGAACGGGAGCCGGGGCACACCGGGAAAGGGGAGCCGGGGCTCACCGGGGGACGGGAGCCGGGGCTCACCGGGGAACGGGAGCCGGGGCTCACCGGGAAAGGGGAGCCGGGGCTCACCGGGGAACGGAGCCCGCCCCCCCCGCCCGCTCCCCCCGCCCAGGCCGGGCCGCGCGCGCGCAGACAGAGGCGGCCGCGCGCGTGCGCAGCGGGCAGGCAGCGCGTCTCCCCCTAGCGGCGGCGCTGGCCCCCTCAGGCGCTGGTCCGCAGGTTCGAGTCCCGGCGCTGCCCGGTGGCACCGGGGACCGTGGGCTGTGGTTGATCACGGGCTGTGCCGCTGCAGGGGGTCCGGGAGAAGCGACCATGTCTATCGCCGCCTCCAACACCAGCATGAGGGTGCCCGCCGGCTTCCGGAACCTGCTGGAGGGGCTGGCACGGGAAGTGCTGCGGGAGCAGCCCACCAACGTGGTGGCCTTTGCAGCACAGCACTTCCAAAAGCTGCTGGAGCAGAGGGAGGGTGAGTGGCCTTGCCCAGCACCCACCCCCACACT